GAGCTGCCGTTCAGAATTAAAGTTGCGTCCATTGTCAAGTTATTGATGGTCTGCAATATGAGAGAGTACCTTCATTAAAGAAAGAGGTTGCAGTGCTTTGACAATAGCAGTCTATGTACGCGTCTCCTCTTTGCTGTAGTCTGATTCTGTGGCGCACAAATAAAGTATTTGAACAGAATTTTATACAAAATTTACTGAAAGTTTCATTGTTATAAAGACCGCTTAATAACAAGCAATAAATCCCCAGTCATGTACTCCCAGTTCTGTGTTTAACACAGAGTGATAGCACGTCACAGGGAACTAATTTCTGTCGGAATTTAACCGTTTAAAATAAAAAAATATCAGAATCTTTCATTTGATATTCTACAATACTAAGATAAACAATCTAAGATTACAAAACTACTATTATTATATATTATTTTATATGCGTATTAAACGTAGTCTTTTACTGTAAAGGAAGGTAAAAATTGAAGAGAACGGGGGAACAGGGCAATAAAGAGAATTTCTGGACTTGAAATAGAGGTGTAACAGGAGGGTGAATAAATCGACATAATGAGAAGCTTCGCATTGTTTTCTCTTCACAAAATAAATAAAAAATGGAACTAACGTGCATGAAAGGGGCAGATACGTAGCAAACTGCGGCATTCTGGGCGATAAATACTTTAAGTAAAAAATTTAACGAGAAAAGTGGAAAAGAAGAAGACACTTGGTTGACCTGGACCTAAATGGAAAGATATTATAACTGAACTGAGACTGAAGATGAACCAGAATAAGTTTCAATGTTTGGCTCTTGTGTAAACGGTGATGAACTTTCGGGTTCTGCGAGAGAGGAAAATATCTTGAATATTCAAACACGATCAAGCTCCATACGGTTAGTTTGTTCAGACAACATTAAGATGAGCTGGGCACGTAGCTCGAACGTTTCGAGAAGTTAATGCGGTGTGTCTTTCAATGGCGAATCCTGATTTAAAAGCCAGGTTGTTCGGAATTACAATATTATGAAACCCTGCCCCCTTCCCAACAAAAGCACCGCAATACCAAGGTATTTCAGTAAAAATAAAAACAACAAGACACCGCTGTTGTTTTAAACAGTAAACGAACTCGTTTATATTCGTCAAATTTTATTGGATTCCCGGTGCACTACTACCAGAGCATTCGCCACTATAAATATTTTATTTTATATTTAACACGATGAACCACTTTAAACAAACCTCGTGAAGTTCATTATACGACTTATAAGGATCAAAATCAAGTTTGACTTAACAATACTTATTGTAAGCCCACAGCATGAAATTTACATTCATGACAACATTCATAGCTGCAACATGCAGACGAATGGACAGACAAACGGAAGTATCCATAACTTGTGTTAATTTTATGCGCGAAAATAGAGCATAAACTGTAAATAAATTTACAGGTTTAGATATTTGTGATTTTACGCAAATAATTCTTTCGATGTTCATTGTTATTTTAGACAGGTCTACAGATACATTGTTGGAAATCTAAACAACTCAAAATTTTGTGATTAAGTAAATAATGGCATGAATCAAAGTCCATATTGGGAAGCTGATGGTCTCCCAGCAAGAAGACAAATAAATCCAAACGCTTTCCGAAATCAAATGTTCACTGCCACATTCACAATAGTCGAGCACTTGATCTTATCCTAGGCAGTTGAACCCACTGCAATCATATAAATTTTAAAATCTATTTTAATATTATACTTAATCCTAAGCCTTAATCTCCCATATAGTAACTTTGCTTCAGTTTTTCAGACTATTTTTTATTCCCATCCATTACTCCTGTTACTTCCCTTGTCAGAGGTCCAAATAGTTTGTTCTCAAACAAAATCGATTTACGATATTCCCTTAAAGCAACAGGCGTTCATATAAACCAGGGGCTAAAATTACACACCGTGAATTTTTAACAAATATGTTTAAAGGTGGGAGACGGATAGGCACGGGATTCTGAGATGAACAATAAGAAGCATTCCACGAATTTGGGTCTAACTTGTCTAATATTTATTTTGTGTAATATTTCGAAAAGCTTTCAAAAGCCGGAAATTAAAAAAATAATCGTGTGGTATTAACACTCAAGAGATGACCATTACTCAAATATTGACTCTGACTGCCTATTACTACGCTTTGTAGGTGTACTTACTGAAAACTGTTGTCAGAATTAAAATGTATGGGGCAAATATACCGGAAACAAATGTGTTACTTGTAAAAGTACAATTTAAGCAGATTTTGAAAGAAACCTTCCATTTTAACGAATGACATCCCAAAATGTATAATTTGTTTTGTTCGAATATTTAAACTTTCGGACCCTGTCTAAAACTGGCTTGGAATATAACGTGTCCGAGACACTTACGGCTAGAGAAAAAATGTGTATTCTGTACACCTAATTGGGCTTAATGGCTATCTGTGCTCATTTCAGAGACAAATTTATTACTGTAAAGATAATCTCACTAAAACCATGATACATATATAACTAATAAAGTCTATGGAGCAAAATCCTTATCGGGAAGCTAACAGTACGCTCAGCTAGCCAAGAAATGACCCGCCTTTTATGGAACCAGGAGTTCATTACAATGTTCACAAGAGTCCTTAACCGGTCCCTGTAGTGGATAAGATGAATCCACGCCGAAACCTCCAACCCTTTCCCACAATCCCTATTTTAGTATGGTTCTCCCATCTACGTCTAGATCTTCCGTGTGGTGTCTTCCCTACAGGCTTGCTTACTAAAATTTTGTGCATATTTATCATCTCCCAGATGAACGCTAAATGCCTAAGCATCACAAAATATATTTCCTTGTACTAATTTAAATATTCAATATATAGAATAATGTTTCAAATATAAGACGTAAATATTAATGAGTCCTATACGAGTCATGCACACATTATTTATTTATTTTTCGAAGACGAGGCATGTTGGAGAAACACTATGA